GTTACTTGTGTGCCGTTCAGACTTTAATATGACAAACACCACCGTCAGACTGAGACGTGGATTAGACACCGAGAATGAAATGAATAGTTTTGAATTATACGGTCTTCAGTTCAGCTGCATGGAGGTGTGTGTTTACAGCCAAATAACCAGGTGTTAGCATCATGTGTTAGCAGACTAAATCAATCAGTGTGAGTAAATAATAATGTGCTTTTGAAGGCGCTCACATCAAGTAAAGGAAGTGTGAAAATCCTGAAAGATTAGTCTTATTATAGATGACATTATTCCCTGAGAGAAAACACACCTAATGATTGTTTAATGATAAAAAAAGATAATCCATTAGTTGTTAAATTAGCCTATTTTTAATGTCTTTAGAATCTCCTTGATGAAGCTTTTCTGTTTCATATGATATTAAACTAAATGTTAGTTTTCAACACGGCATGACAAGGACTTTACATTAGACTGGGAGAAAGTAGGATGGACATTATTTTCCTAATTTTCTCCCCTTTTTAAAGACAAAATGAAAAAGAATCAGCAGAAATATCCGCAATTGACATTAGTTGCAGCCCGAATTTGCAAACCCTTATAATAAAAGGCAAGATTTAACAAAAATGTTCCCTTATTAAGCATCCCTATATCGGTTTATTTAAAATTATTTAAAATGCAAGAGCTGTATTTGTCAACAACTGTAAGTGGAGGCCGGTGTGCAAACAGATAATACATGATCATAAAACAAAACACATTTGCAATAATATATCAAATATGTTCATAGGGTAAAATAGTTTTTTTGGATAAAAAACAACGTTTACATGATTTAAAACAGATTTCTTGTAATTGTCTAGGTTTGTTTTCCTCAAACGTGATGAGATCAGCCATTGTTCACAGATTGGGGCCTCCTGCTGCTTTTGAGGAGAATTCACCAAGGCAAACCTTTTTATATGAAAGAGTCAAAAAATGATGTCAGCTTGCACACAGTAAATGCAAAAACCGTGGGTGTTTCTCAATGTCGAGGAAGGCTGCTCCAGAGCCACTATTTCAAGGATGCTACGTTATCGAGTGCCGCCGAAGGACTGTTCCAATGTCCAGGATGCTTGGAATTCTACCGAGGCCGGCGTACTTCGTACTTCATTTCGAGGCTGCACATGTGTAGACTCCGTGGCCGTTTCTCAATCGCGAGGATGCTGGCTTGGTAGTCGCGTACTTCCAAGTCACTTCCTTCAGAAACGAAGCGAGTATGCTTCCAAGCCACGGCTTCGGGAAACAGGCTAACAAGTGTGCCACTCTCTCTAACGGTTTCAACATAAACATAAATACCTCACGATGTCTATCTAATTATGAACTTGCTTTACTTTCACGGAACACATTTTTGGTGAAAACAAATGTAACAAAGTCACATATTTACCAACACATGTTCTACGCCACTACATACTTACATTTAAATGTGTGCTGCATCGGTTCAGCCATTCTCCGCAAGGGTTTTTGAAATTGGTCCGTGCGCAAAGCATTTTAAGGATGCGAAGTCTACCCATGAGCAGCCTCGAAATTTCCCCCAAACCAAGGACGCGGCCTCGGTGGAATTCCAAGTATGCTGGAGATTGGAAAAGTCCTTCGGTGGCACTCGATG